AAGGGTTCAGCAGAATGAGGAGTAATTTCAAATTCAGAAGGTGCTTCTGCAGGCTGTTGATACTTTGTCTTGTAAGCCAAAGTCAGCTGCATCTTTGACTTGCTCAGAGGATGTAGCTTTCTTAGCAAAAATGTATCAATTTTATGTTGTCTTCCTTATCTTGGATATTGTTTCCTTTTTCTCTTGTCTCTTTTTTGAGCACCATTTTTATGCTTATAGTCAGACATCATTAAATAGGGTTTAGCTACCTGGTAAAGATAAAAAGAATAATCTTTGTTTAATATAAATACACTAATCCATATTACTATTATTACTAATCCATGTATATATTATATACTACACTATTACTAATCCATGTATATAAGCCTATAGAAGCAGTAACATATAATGTATATATATATGAGACCAGGGCCGTAGCTGATGCTAAAAAAAACACCAGGCACAGAGAAAGTTGCCCGGATTTATTAAGGTGGTGACGTCATCAGTGTCATCCGCTTCCAGAAACTATGAACTTTTGCGGATTATTCTTTTATTCCGATGGAAATTATGCATAGACTTCACGGCACTCGTTCACATTTGCAGCCAAGGGTCACGGATCATTTGCATAATGAGATTTGGGGGGGGACGCTTCATTGTGAAATTGTTGTAAGTTAGTTAAACACATCTCAAATATATTTGGAATTTTTACAAATTAATATCATACAAAGGTAAATTTTTATTATTATTACATTTTTGTTCATTAATGATTAACTGACAAAACGATGGCATTTTATCGCCTTTGGATTGATTTAAAAAAAATAAATAATTTACTTGCCTTCTTTTCACGAATTAATTAATAATAATAATAAAAATATCGGCTAAACTCGAAAGTTGCATTTTTTGTAAATTTACATTTTTAATTTATAATTTCGAGTATTTATAAATAAAAATTCTATTTATTTATTTTTAAGTTTATTCTCTTTTATTCAAAGTGTATGGGTTAAGAAGTAATAATTTTCACTTTAATTTTTTTTCTAAACATTAAGAAAAAACAGCCTTCCAAAACACAGTGACCATACCTAAAGGTTTTGATTAAATATGTAAAAAATGTCTAGAGCAAGATCAGAGAGACTGCACATTGCACATATAAAAAATCCAATCAACTGAAATTATATCATTGGTTTTAGAAGAATGTGGTAAGATCCGTATGTATCTGGCACTGGCATAAAATGACTGTTAAGCCCTTCGTCAATTTGAAAACAAGATTGGATTTAAAAAAATAAAAAAAATATTCTGCTTGTATTCGCATTAAAGCGCTTTATTGAAATTTTAAAACTTTGACATAAGAAATCACATAATTCGAATTTAAATTTACTATAAATCCTCAATATTTTTATCAAATTAGCATAATTATAGATGTAAACAAAATAATCAATATAGTCAATATTTTAACTTACTAAAATGCTTGGCAACAGACAGGAGTTAGGAAAAGGATGTCCTTTCATTGCAAATTCTAACAATCATATGAAGATTTTAGTGGCTTTTTTATGAGTGACGGAGATGGGAGCAGGAGGACTGAATGACCCCCTCAGATTGTTCGCCAAGACTTGACCGGTACTACAGACTTACAGAGGCGCCAGGTTTATAATCATCTGAATATTCTTGGAAGGTTAAAATGATTTATTGCGTCTTCCCTTCAGTCAACAGACAGCCAGGCAAAAGGGGTGCGGCGAAATCAAAAGAGATGTGCAGGAGAGCCCGAAGACTATGGCCATGTATAAATGACTACATCCTTGATAATTTTATTCATCCAAGAATATTCTTGGAAGGTTGCAAAATGATTTATCATTGCGTGGTCCGATTGACCACACAGTCACACTCTGATGTTGAAAAATAAACATCAGCTGAGTGTTAGTTGAATGATACGGAGTCAGACTGCATGTATTAACAAGGGAGTGTATAACAAGGACATCCTTGATAATTTTATTGGCAAAATCCACTGTTTGATTTTATTTAGCGGCATATAAACATCTCTATGGGTTATTTAATACCGAAATCCAAATATTGTGATTGATTTGGTTGGTTCATTTTGTTTACCGACATATCAACACCTACATGGATTACTGCATGCCGAAATCTAAATATTTTGATTGGTTTGGTTAGTTCATTTTGTTTACCGACATATCAACACTTCTATGGGTTATTCAATGCGGAAATCTAAATACTTTGAATGCAGTTTTATGCTTTCAACTACACATATTTTGTACGCTATTTTATACTTTCAATATAAACGTATATATTTTTTTAAAAATATATCGTTTGTAGATAATAAAATGTGTTGATGGTACTTTTTAATAAAACTATATTGTTAGTAATTTTAGTATAAAAGTCTATTGTTGGTAATTTTACTATAAAAATGTGTTTTATACATTTTTAGTACATTATTTACATTATTCGGACTATTTTCCTAATCTTTGTTACTATATTTATCACGACGTTTCGGCCGTTGTACGCTCCGGTCTTCTTCAGGTGGTTAGAATTTCGAACTGAACCCTTTATTTCGCTCACTGGGGTAGACTGTTCTAGTTCCACGTGCCATGTTTGATGGATGTCAGTTATCAGTTATCTCCTGCAATTTCCCCTCTGAAAGTTCTCCACTGCCTTAACTGGGTATTGAACTCACACTCTTTGGGTCCTGTCACTGATTAACCAACGCCTTTATCCACTGTGCCATGTGTCCACCTGAAGAAGGCCGGAGCGTACAACGGCCGAAACGTTGTGATAAATATGACGATAAAAAGTCTATTGGACAAGAGTCCGAATAATGTAAATAATGTACATAATTTTATCTCAGAAATATAGACAGACGTTTTTAGTATTTCATTGATTGTTATTTTGCTGTAAAAACCTATTTTTGGTCATTTTATTATAAAATGTATTGTTGATTTTTGTATAAGAATGTATTACTTGTATTTTAACTATAAAATGCATTATTATAATTTACTACTGTTTTGTTTGGAGGTTCACTATTTGCCCATAGCTGTGACCCGAACAGGTGCTACTACCCCGGCTCAGCGTGGACCTGGGAATATCAGCAATTAAGAGGTGGTTTCGCGTTCCTCAAAGCCTCCAATCTCCCGATCAAAGGCCTTGTTGCCGGATGTAGTTTATCGTCATCCCCAGAACTATGCAAAATATGTGTTTCTTTTTCTCTTTATCTTTAGGTCATGGATTTATTGATACGGTGATATACCCAACTGTTAGCATGCATGTCTGCATCCACAGGAAAATCTGCAGCTGCCTTCTCACGTTTCTTCTTTTGTATATGGAAGATCATTTCACCCACGTAAGCTGTAAATAAAATAGAATCAAAATCAAAGATAAGGAAAAAGATGGCAAATGATAAATTTTCGATATGATGTATAGAAAACGTGATCAATACATCTGGAAATATGAAGTTACTTTTTTTAAACGTAAAACATAAAATTCAATAACACGCTTTAGAAACAAAGTGAAAACCTATAAAATGATTTAAAAAATAAAAAATAATTCACTCTCTTATAGCAATCTTAATTACGAATATTGTTGTAATAAGGAAAACATTATTCAAGGTCATGTTAATCATTATTGAGAATTAAACTTGCCAATTTAAGTCAAAAGTTTTTTCCGCTTTTCAAACTTTAATTAATATTTCTAATAATTTACATACGAAAAACTTTTATTCTTCAAAATATGTTTTAATCACTTCACTACAAGCAAGGAAACAGAACTAATAACATCATCTCTCTCTCTCTCTCTCTATATATATATATATATATATATATATACATATATATCTTATCTCTCTCTCAAACAAGAGACACTAAAATTATCTAAGTCTATCTTATCTCTCTCTCAATGACTTCTCTCTCTCCGCCCCTTTCTCTTTCTCTTTATATATATATATAATGAAATGGACCAAGTCTGACAATTATTTTAAGATATTTTTATGTTTATACATTGTTTATTATCGATACAAATATTTAAGTAAAAGCTCTGTAATATTTTCTATGACAATTTCTCGGACATTCAGGCCGGTAAATGTCGTTAATACTGTTTATTATAAACAGGGCATTTATTTAAATATTTGTATCTATAAAAAAGAATGTATAAACATAAAAATGTCTTGAAATATATCTGAGTGTTTTATTCTGTTCATGGTTGAAAAATAAATATCAGTTAAATAGAATAATAATAATGAATGGCAGACTTGTAAATAATCTATTGCCTATTGCCATCGTTGCGCCAGAAACTGAACTCCACGCCTTTTATATTTGGCTCGTTTAGAGGTAAAATACGCCCTGCTACTGCTTCTCAACCTCACCCCCATTTTTGAACCTTCGTCCGCACAGAAAAGCAGCCATAGCCCGGAAAAGGTGGTAATCTGATGGTACAACCACAGGCAGGTTGAGGCAGAATTTTCATCCCTTCAGGTTTGCGCATGGCCACATTAGCAGTGTCTGCTGGGACATTGTCATTGCGACCTGTTTTATATACCGTTTCATTTCAGGTTCGAAGAGTCACTCAAGGTAGATGTTTACTGAATGCAATTGTTGCATGAAGGTAAGAAGGATGTGAGATGTTCATATTATGAGGATATATCGGAAAAATAACGGTTAACACAAGACTTGAAGAGGCTAAGATTGTAGTGATAGAGAAAACATCATTTCAGGAATCAGTTACACGAAGCAGCGGTTCTTTGGAAGAAGCTGTTACAATGGAACTTCCATCTTATTAATGGAATGGAAAAAGAATTGCGAAAATTCGTTTTAGTGTACGTGGCATGGTTGATCTTTCATGCAAAGGTCAGGAATGGTGGAACTAAGGAATGTGGCTCGTCGAAACACTGGCTATGGAAACAACGATAGGGTAGCGAGAAGTTTGGATCATTTCGACTGGGGTAAACGGGTTGTGGGGTGGAAAATAATTCTTCATCCACAAGACGCTTTTTGAACTCTATCAAAACTAAGAGAAAAAGAATGTCAGAAAGAAAGAAAGGTAGAAAGAAAAAAAAAAGACAAAAAGGAAAACAGAAAGAAAGGCAGAAGATAAAGCTGAAAAGCGGAAAGAATGAAAGAAAAACAGAAAAAAGCTAAAACGAAAGACAGAAAGAAAGGAAGAACAAAAAGAAAGAAAGAAAGAAAGAAAGATATGATGAGAGAAAGAAAGGCAGAACAAAAGAAAGAAAGAAAGAAAGAAAGAAAGAAAGAAAAAGTGAAAGAAAGAAAGAAAGAAAGAAAGACACAAAGAAAGGCAGTAAGTAAGGCTGAAAGCAGGAAGAAGGAAAAGCGGGAAGAAAGAAATGCAGAAAGAATGGCAGAAAGAAAGAAAGAAAGGCAGAAATAAGGAATGCTAGAAAGAAAGACAGAAAGAAAGGCTGAAAGAAAAACAAGAAGAAAGGCTGAAGGAAAGACAAGAAGAAAGGCTGAAAGAAAGAGAAGAATAAAAGCAGAATGATAGAATGACAGAAAAAAGAGAAAAAGTAAGAAAGGCAGAAAGAAAGAGAAGAAGAAAGGCTGAAGGAAAGACAAGAAGAAAGGCTGAAAGAAAGAGAAGAAGAAAGGCTGAAGAAAGAAAAAAGA